GCTCCCTTGCTCCCTCCCTCCTTAGCAATGGCGGCAGCGGCGGCGCCTCCTTCCTGCGGCCGCCGCTCCCGCTCGCGCCCCCTCGTTACTGCGCGTGCGTAGCGCGGGGACCGTTGCAGGAGGATAACGGCCCCTGGGCACGCGCCGCGAAGGACAGCCGGCGCGGGGTAGGGTGAGAAGTGAGAGAGCGCGTGCGCTTCCCAAGGGCTCACTGCCACCGCCGCGGCCTGTGGCTGGGAACCGCCGCGGAGAGCGAAATGCGCGTGCGCCCCAAGAAAATGCCGCTACTGCAGTGGCTGCGGCGCGATACTGCGCGAGGAGACCCGCGACCCGGCTCGGCGGGGGGGAGAGAGGGGCAAGTGCGCGTGCGCGGGAGATGCTGCCAGCCGCCGCGACGACAGGCACGAGGCGGAGGGAGTGGCCCGCGGCAGGCGCGCGCACCTATGCGCGCGTCAGAAGCAGCCGATCCCCTCCTTGTGCTAGCTCTCGGAGAAAGCCGAAGGGGAGAGGCATGGCCCGGCTGTGGAGGAGGGAGAGGGGGCGTAGGGCGCGATCCCGTTCGCGCGGGACCTGAGCAGCCAATGAGAGGAAAGGGTAGGTGGGTTTGCCGCGATAGCTGCAGCCCCCAGGATAACGGAGGAGGAGAGAGGGAGAGACGTAACGTGGGGCGGTGGGGAGGGGCTGAAAAAGCTGGAAGTGCACCCAGCGAGGGAGTTGATTGGGGAGCACTAGGAGGCGTGACCCGCCTCAGCCCAATCAGCCTCACAATTAGTCGTTTCCCGAGGAAGGGGCGGAGCTGAGGAGCGCGTGCTTTTTCTCCTGGCAGTGAAGGGAATCTGCAGGCAACGCGCGCTTTAATACAACTTGTTCTGGATTCTGTGACCGCCTGATACCCAGGAGAGGGGCGAGGGCCGGGTCCCGACTGCGCCCTGGCCTCCAAGACAGCATCGTGCAAATGACTGCAAATCAAATGTCAGTTTGGGCGCCTGGAGGGGAAATAGTAGTGATAGGAAGTTACTGAGGAGGGGTTCGTTCCTCTGGGACGACCCCTCCGGAAGTACGGATCGTGGAAGATGAGGGTTCCGGGCCTTAATATTTACGGAACGCATGAAGAAAGGCTATGGTCCCTATTGCATTTTGTATTTCTTCCCCAGTCTCATCATCTATAGTGTAAAATAATAATCTTACCTCCCTCATAGGGTTGCTGTGAGAATTAAATGACATATTTGTAAAGCGTTGAAAATCATGCCTTCTTCTAGAAAAGATGATAAAACTACATGCGCTCAAGTTTTCAAACATCCCATTAAATAAAGGTTCTCTGATTACTGATCAAGGTTGTTTCCATTTACCTTTTTTTAATTTTAGCAGTTTAAATGCATGAAATCTGATTTTTAGATGTTAGTGACTTTGAAAAAAAAAAGTTTGTTTTAAGCACTGTGAGCCAAACCAATCAAGTGTGTGGCCTAGATTTTTCTTAAGGCTGCTACTGCAAACCCTGGTTTATAAATGATTTTGAGATCGCTGAGACAACACCAGAAAGACGGCGCAGGGGACACTGGATTTCCCTACCTCCAATTAATATGTCTTTATAACTCCAATGCAGTGTCCTTCCAATCTTGGCAAATTTGTGAACTTACAGCACCTGAAGAAGAGAGAAGCACTGGGCTCACTCTTTTTGAAGCCCATCAACTCCACCTTATCCTTCAAGTCTCAGATTGAAGTCACTTCCTCAGGGTGGCCTCCCACTTTGGTCTGACTCCTCATTCTTTGATAAAAATGGGCAACATTTAGAATGCTAGGCAACATTCTAAAGCACTTTAAACATGTTAACTCACTTGATCCTCCACAACACCTTATGAGTAGGTTATAGTTGTTACTCTAAGGCATAGGGAAGTTACATAGCTAGTAAGTAGCAGATTTAAGATTCAAACGCAGACAACTGGATAGATGACATCTTCATAGCACTCCAATCAGAGCGCTATGAAGTTATGTATTGGTATCACCATTCTATATGTGAGCCCTTTGATGGTGGGGACTCTGGCTAGTTACTTAGTCGGGCAAATGTCCCACAATAAATACGTGTTAATGAATAAATGAAAAAAAATCCAATGTTAAAGGGGATGATGGCAGGCACTGGACATGGTAGTTGAAAAAACAGTCCTTGTCCGATAACTAATTCCTACCTCTCAGATGCTAGCTCAGATTTCCCCTCTTCCAGGAGGCCCTCCCTGATCTGTCAGGCTGGATCAGGCGCCCCTTATAGGTTCCTACAACCCCTCTACCCAAGCCCTGATGACCATGGGTTGTCCCTGTCTAATGATAGGTCTTTCTCTCCCACCGGACTGTGAGACTCGAGAGGACAGAGCTGGGACTGTTTCAGTCACCATTGATGTCCCCAGCACAGGTCCAGGCACAAGGCAGGGGCTCAAGCAGGGTTCCCCTGGATGAACGAACAGAACCATCAAGCAGTGCCTTCCCAGCTCTGCAGTTATTTCCAGTGCGCAAGAGGGTGGGTGTCAGCTGACCAAGCCAACCACAGGAAGCAGGCTTCCCTGGGGGCAGCCGCCCCCGCGCACCCGGCTAACCTCCACTCCAGGATAAATAAACAACCGAGTGAACAATTAGCCTACAGAAAGAAGTGCCGACTGCCGGTTTGGGCTGCTGTCAAGACTTCCCAAGCACAGCCCTAGCGGCCCCAGTGACTGGAACTGGGGAGGTCACACCAACCGGAGAGCAGGAGTAGGTACGGGAGTCCTGGGGATCCGGACCCGCACGGGAGAGATGCACAGGCAGAAGAAAAATCCACAAAAGAGTATTGCAAAAAAAGTGGAGATGCTGGAGCATATTCTCTCTCCATTCCTCAGAATCAGAAAAAATCAGAGGGTGGGGACCAGGACTGCGCTTGACCAAGGCGTCGGTGAGCTCACAGCGCCGCCTACAAGCCGAACTGAGGAAGCTGCAGCTAGCTGATGCAGCATGGCATGTCAGAGAGCAGTGAGCTCTTCCGCCATTGGCCAGAAGGGCAACCAATCACGAGGAAGGAACCGGAGGCGGGGATGCTCGGATTCACTGCGCCTGGCCAGTGCTTGACACTTCGTGGGCACGCGCTAAATATCCGGTGGAAGACTAGATGATGATCTTCTCAATTTCTGTAAACTTTAAAACTGAAACATAATGCATACCGAGAAGTGCACAAATAACAAGTGTACAACACGACAAATATCCGCAAAGAGAATACAGGCCTATAACCAGCACCCAGATAAAGAAACAATATGACCAATGTCTTAGAAGCCGCCCTTCCCGGTGTCCCCTTCCAGTCACTGCCCGCTCCCCACAAAAAGAGCCGCTAGGGCCGGCCGAGTGGCTCAGTTGGTTAAGAGCTTGCTCAAGAGTTTGAGCTCTGAGCAACAGCGGTTCGAGTCCAGCCTGAGCTGAGCAGCCGCTGAGCTGCCAACAGGTAGCAGGATGGCTCAGCTTAAAAAAAAAAAAGAGAGAGAGA